TTCAGCAGGGGGAACTCAGCAAGAGCTGGGATATTAATTATGCTTGTTGGGGGTGTTACATAAGGCAGATGCTTTACATCCAACAGGAAATTCTTCCAACACCTGACAATGTGCCAGGGCAGTCCATATGCCTAACAAATATTTACTGGAGTATTATTTCCTGATCATACGTTACAGTATCTAGTTTACCAAGAGAAACAGAAAGAAGGGGTTTTTATTTTAATGATCAAAGGAACTTTGTCGCTTCCTATCCTGTCTGCAGTTGTCCAGGTTAGCCCTCCAGTGCCCATTACCATGGTGCATTTTCCTGGGCTATTTTCCCCTATCACACTAAATCAGAAACGGTCTCTTCACACTCTTAGACTCTAACTTCTGTTATCAGGTGAACTGGTCTCTAAAAATAGCTTTTCCTCTGAAGCACATTTCAGCCATGATAAAAAAAAATGGAAACATTTTCCGTACCTGTACCAGCCAGATACCATCTTTTGTGTCTTCCACAAGCTCATAGAAGTGCATTTCACCACTGAAGTTCGTACTTGAAACGGATTCAGAGGCCTCTTCTTCCTTAAGAGCAGAATAAAGCTCCCCTTCCATGAGGTCTCCTGAAGAATGGATGGGAAAAAACTAATTAAACTGCAGCTGGTAAAACTCATGTTAATCAAAAATATTCTGGTGTCAATACCATTTTCTTGTCAGTTAGTGAAAATGTTGTTAATTATATCTTACAAAACTGAACTCAACTATTTCATCTTAAAAACAAATTTCAAATTTATTCTAAATTATTTTACATGTAGTTATACTTAAAAATATGTGTATTTTAGTTGCCAATCAACCTGGGAAGAAATGTAGTCTTCTTTGGGTTAGACATACTCAATATATATAACTGGACCAATTGAAAAGCAATTGAATGTGTTCTCCGCTTTATAAATCCCTGCTGATATTTTCTGAAATTCAGAGAACTAAAATGGAAGACACATATTTCGCTTTCAATGATTTAGCCTTTACTACACAGGAAATTTAGTTTTACAGTCTACAAAAGATCACTCAAAACAAAAATTATTAAACCTGTCCATCTAAACTGGTTTAAGAATTCCAATCGATAACATTCAATTTTTGTAAAATTAGAATTTTACTTACAATGGAATAATCCAAAGCCATTTCACACAGCTACTCTAAGGTAAAAATATTCTACTATAAAAATTGATTTTTATATACAAAGCAGTAAATATTTCCTAAGAACTCAAACTGAACAACACAAATTGAGTTCCTTCGGCAACTTATGTAAAATTATTTGTTTCTTTTGCTCTCGTGTCCTTTCCACATATTGTGTCTGCCTGCAAACCATATTGCTAACAATGTCATAGCATTTATTCTATGAAACTTGCCCTTCAAAAATGTTTTCCCAAAGAAGACTTATTACAGAATTTAAGAAATGTAGCATCAAAGTAGAAACTCTTGATATTTTAGAAGCTATTAAGACATACCATCACATAATTTGGAGGCCAAAAACATTTATGTAAAAATGTTACAAAGCTTATTAATAATAGAAGTGTTGCCATGACATTTGGAAAAAAAAAGTCATTGAACAGTTTGTTTGGAGTTAAACATTTTCCTGCAGTGTTTGCAACCCAAATATTACAGCATCATGAAAGTGAATGAGCGCCAAAGAGTGAAAGTGACAGGAAGCAAAAGAGAACCTGACCAATGGGGTTTCTCCGTGCAGGCCAACCAAGTAAAAAAGATAGTAAACAAAGGGTATAAATAGTAGAAAAGCAAATTACTGCTGGTATCAGCTATTCATAGGAAAGGAGTTAGTGTTGAAGTATATGAAAATTGGGTCTTTTCTTTATACTAAGTAAATCAGAACATTCAAGTCTTTCTGCTCAACGCTTCTTGCCCATTTTGACTGCAGTCATCTCCTCCTTTCCTACACAAACATCCCCTTGACAATCCATTTGAAAAGCAGATGTTAAGATTATCTTTCCCGTCTGTGACTCTGACCACACCAGTCCCACCTCCAAACTCCTCTTCTGACTCAACATCCAGGCCACCCCGTTAACTTCCAAGTGTCACGCTCCCAGTTCCAAAGCAGCATCTCCTTACTGGTCTGCACCTCATGTCGCCCTCTCCCCTCGAAGGTGCCAGCCTCACGCGCTCTTTCCTCAGCCTCTCGCGCAAACATCTCCACGCCTCCTTCTAAACTACCCGGTGTTCGGGGTCAGGCTTCCTGTACCGCTCTGTAAAACCACCGCGCCCCGGCATCCCGCCAGCTGCTCGGTTCAGGGCAAAGTGGCATTTAAAAATAATAAACAATAATCCTTTCTCCTCATGCTTCACATGTCACTTGTCTTCTTCGCTTGCAGGCCTTTTGTGCCAGGAGTCCAGAGAGAGAGATGCAGGGTGGGCGAAAAGATACGCCTTGAAAACACCACCGCCAGCGTCCATGCTGCTGCGCAAGCAGGACCGAACCCTTCTCGCTCAGCCGCCCCGTCGCGACTCCGGCCAACGCTTCGGAAACACTTCCCTGCCCTGCAGCCAAATCTTATACTTAGCGACCAGCCTAACGAACGGAGAAGGCCTCTTCTCTCGACACGCCGCGTACACATGTACACACGTGCCACGTCGCCGTTTGACTGCTTCCGCGCCGGCCTCGACCGCTTCAGACCGCCGAGGGAACACGCGACGGATTCACACGCCGCTCGGACATCCGAACTCACGCGGCCCCGATTTCGACGCTTAAAACGTTAAGTTTACGGGGCGTGCGCATCGTGAGACCGGGGGGGCGGGAATAACAAGGGTGAACCCGCCCAAGGGAGACGTCCCCGTCCCAGGGGGGTGCCAGGGCCCTCACCTGACTTCTCCACCAGCTCCCGCACGTCCTTCTTGTCGGGCAGCCCCGAGTAGCCCAGCCCGCGGCCCTCCAGGATCGTCTTGAGCTTCTTGAAGCTCAGGGTCACCGGGTCCACGAGCTGCGTGGCCAGGAAGCCGGTCTCGTACCACACCACGGCCTCGAAGACGCGGGC